TGATGAATTTACAATGCAAGTTCTTCAGCGATCACTGAACATACTCAATGATGATCGCTGGAACTGAAAAAATACAGAAACATAAATACAACGTGAAAGAAAAAAGGGATTATCATCAAATCACTGAGAGAGATGATCAACAAAAGCTCTAAAGAATGACTCTTCAGACTTGTACTCTGAAGTATAAAACCAATACCATTAAATAAGAATTCATACTTCTAAGTTTGAAAAAAGAAGAGTTCAGACTTCAGACTTCAGAGTTCGGGTAAGCTAAATCTGAAAAATAAGACTTCAGAATTCAGATGAGCTAACTCTGAAGAATGACTTTTCAAACTTGTACTCTTCAGAATTGTAGAAGACTTCTAAGTCTGAAAAAGAAGATTTCAGAGTTCAGACTTCTAAGTTTGAAAAGAAGATTTCAGAGTTCAGACTCTAGAGTTCGGGTGAGTTATGTCTGAAAAAGCAAACTTCAGAATTTGGGTGAACTAACTCTGAAGAATGACTTCAAACTTGTTCTGTTGAAATAACTCTGAAGTAAAACTTTTCAGTAAATTGAATTTAAAATAAAATGAAGTTAACCCTAGAATAAAATTGAATTTAGAAATGAAACTATATCAGTAAATTAAATTTAAACTTAGAAGTAAACACCATTTTTTTGGGAATCAGTTACCATACGAATTAATTAACCAAAGAATAAAATCAATTGCATCCTAAATTAGTAGGATTGATTGAATAAGAGGACACATGTCAATCAAATGAATATAATTGAATTGTTAATGTAAATTGTGTCTAGATACGTTCAAATGAGTCTAATTGAACCACTAATGTAAATTGTGTCTAGATACATGTTTAGGCAGAAAAATAAGATAACCGACTCACCCGGTGAAATTACTTATTTATTAGATGTATAGATATATATAAGTAGCTTCAACGGTTAGATGTTGAAAATTAAGAGGTACCATCGTCTATGCATCATGTACAAGTTTTGAAGCTAAACACCTCCTCCTGTTTCAAAGATAATATTAAAATCAAATTATTTTTAATTTTTAAGTTACACTTTACACCATTATAGTTAGTTATTTAATTTACTTTATATCCCTTTCTTTTTCATTTTACACCATTATCATATCATCATATATAATCGTATATTAACTAAAATATGTTAAAAAAAATACGTTTCACTTTTTACAAATTATACAATTATAATCGTCTCATCAATGTCTTCAGAATGAGCCTAATATTGAATATTTTTCGATTTAATCTCATATTATTAAATAACATAAATACGCAGTGAATTATTTTCAAAACTTTTATTTTATACCTTATAGTTATCGTATTTAATTTGTTTTCTATTGCTATTTTACACCCTTAATTTACACATTTAAAGATGTAGAACCCATAACTTTAAATCTCCGCATCCAATGAAAATATTAAAGAACAATTTTTTTTTATTTTTAAATTACAATTTATACTCTTATAATTAGTTATATAATTTGTTTCGTACCACTTACTTTTTTATTTTTTATTTTCCATTTTTATCATATTAAAATAAATAATCGTATATTAATTAAAATTATTATGAAATATATTTTTTTATAAATTATATAATTATAATCGTCTCATCAACACCTTTAAAATGAATCAATATTGAATATTTTAAATTTTATCATATAATTAATTATTATAAATATGTGATGAGTTATTTTTAAAACTTATATTTAATTTGTTTTATATTTCTTAATTTACATCCTTATCTATTTATACTATCTATATCTATACTATATTATAAAGGATTTGACAAAAACTCTTAAAAACCATTTTTTATGCATGAAGTACTGTTTATTGATGCATATTACTTAAAATTCGAGATTACAAGTAAATTATAAGTAAGTATAACTTATTAAAGTTTCATGTAATCAACTGCAGATAAACATAATTAAATAAAGGATAAACATCTCATTTTAAATATAAAGAATCTAAAATATAATTTGGATAATCATTAACTTCTAATAAAATACTTAATTATTATCTTTATA